AGCACACAAGTACAGGTTTCTCATTAACTGTACTGGTGCAATATGAAAAATAAATGTTTGTTTTAAAACTACGCAAACCTACATGAGAAATGTAGCTGTACATCCACAAAATATAGGGTACTTTGTTTCATAAAGCGCAAAAAGAGACATTTTTGTTTTTAAAAGCCCCTAAGGGGTTCAAACAATAGGTCCCCCCCCATTTCAACAAATGAGTTTTTTTTAGACTAGAAGAGTTCTGCCTTTTAAGACAGGAAAGTATAGCAGTTAAAGTTGCTACTTGAGAAAATACTGAACCATAGAGATAAAAATAGCCCTGTGATTCAAATTATAAATTGTATTTGGAATAAAAATGAGAGAACTAGGGGTGCTAAAAAACACATCCTCCAAAGACAGATATTTACATGGGAATGTGGCAGATAATTAATTGACATATTACTGATCTTGCTGGATTTTATTCTGCTTTACTTCCATAAATTGCAGGATCTTCTTTACTTTATCTTTGCCAGAAGATTTAAACTTTAAAAGCCTTGCCCTCATAATTTGCAAACTAATTTATTTATAAAGAAAATATAAACGCTGCTTAAGCTAATTCAAATGAAATTAAAAGTAAAATAAGTAGCCAACCTTATCACTGTCTGTAACCTACTAACAAGGTAAGGAAAGCATCAGATGAGCTACCAAAGAAACTAACTTACGTTTCCCCACTTTAAAATGAAACAAACATGGTTACTCATCCTGCTGATCAGCTATCTTCACTGCCATTGAAGGCTCCAACGTGTTTTCTTTTCAGGTGCTGCGTCATAACAGTGGTGCTTCCGTGCCATGTTCATTTGTTTTTTACAAAAGTTGCATGTTACGAGTTTTTTCACTTTACAAAGCGCAGGCTATTTTAATTATTGTGATCAATTTGCGCCGTCAATCCCGGGGCATGCGCGCTTCATTTGCAGTCTGGACGCTGAGGGTAAACTCCTCACTAAAATCCTGCGGCTCTGACTGCAGCGCTGAGAGGGATTCCTGTGGGAGAGGGAGAAAGGCGTTGGGATGGGGGAGGCGCCCCACGGCAGCAGCTGCCGCTTGAGGACAAGAGTAGGAACGATACATGCTTTCACGTAAGAGTCTCCAAAAGCCGCCAGTGACACCGTAAAAAGTCGCCAGATTTGTCGCTAGTCGCTTTTAAAAAAAATAGTCGCCGGAGGGGTCTGAAAAGTCGCTGAGTTGGCAACACTGCAACTGCGGCGCTGACTCGCTCCGCCATATTTTTTTTTTCTTCCCCGGTATGACGGCGGTGGATGACGCATTAATCGCGCGACACAACTAATCGATGATTAAATTCGTTGCCAACGCTTTTAAAAGTCGATTTTTATCGATTTTATCGATTCGTTGTGGCAGCCCTAAACAAAACACAATCATTAGGTCATTAATAAATGGCCTGCAGTGCGTGCTATAAGGTTGTTATCTAAAGCAGCTCCTAAAAGGAGGGACAGAATGATAAGGAAGGTAGATTCTTTCATTTGAGTTAATTTAAGTCTGACCAAAAACTGAAGATAGATGTATTTAAACTTGTTTTCTTTTAGATAATCTAGCCAGATGGCTTCAGCTCATCCAAAATGCTTCTTTCAGAGTTGTGACAAAATTGAATTTCTCAAATCACAGCCCTCACTTCTGGTTTTAGCTCTTGATATGTAGAGTTTTTTTAGGGTATGCATCATAAAGATCCCTCAAGAGCCTCAGAAACCTGTTTACTGAGAGTTCAGAGGAGCTGAAGTGGACAGGGGAAGGCAGCAGTTAGTTTCCTTAATATCTGGAATAAACTCCTGGAAAACCTGAGATTTGCAAAGAATGTTAGATTTTAAAATCGGGCATGAAATCATTGTTTGTAAAAGTAATTTATGTATTTATTTAAAATTTAATTGCTATGGTTTTTTTTATAATGGCTTTATTATAACTGTTGTAATTTGTATGTAATTTTACATGTTTTCTCTAATACATGTTATTGAACAACCGTTTTAACTGTGGTTCTGTTAAAGGTGTGAACTTGTGGGACAGTCAGAATCTCAAGAGCTTTACTTGCATTTCATTCTTGAAGAAATGTTTTTAAAACTCATCTAGGGAAAAATACAGTAAAATTAGTATCTTTGCTGTGTGTGAATATAATTTTTTAGAATAAGAAACAATTTATTAGGGTAGGCGATACAGGCTTAAGCATAGACTTTTTTGCTTAAATATTTTACTTTAAGAAAACATGTATACATTTTTTTTTCTTTTGTATAATAGTATTTAAAGAATGTGTTGTATTTTACTTGTATTATAATGTTTAAAAGCATACATTTTACCAAAAATAAAAGAAATGTATTTTATTCTTGTGCCTAAGTGGCCTAAAAAGGTGCATCAAAGTATCCATAGAGTTTCTCAGTACTTGAGCAAATGTGCTTCACACCAACAGGAAAAGGCTGAACTGAAAGTCTTTACACACCAAAGATAATGCAAATGTAGGGCGCTGGGTGACAATACCTCGCAGGGCATATTTGAATATCCTTATTTATACAAAAGAGCCATAACAGAAGGCTGGCATCCTTCTTTTTTGAAAGAATTTTCTGTTATTACCAATACAGCTCTGTGTTAATTAACGCCCTGTACCAGGGTGTCTGATAGTGTCCCAGTATCAGAAAAAAGTCCCAGCCTCTCCGGTTCCATCCTCTATTGTCGTCTCCTCCTAGCAGTTTCAGGTTTTTCAACCTATTGTTTCAGGCATGGTGACATGCACGCTTTTGTTATTTGCTAAACACGCCAGACCCGTACAAATAGAGTCAGGGGCAGAAAGGTTGGCTCATGTTTATTCGTTAACTGAGGTATCATTAGTTTCAGTTTGTGGTCCAACTGTCCTGTATTTTACTAGGTGTTTTTATCATGTTTTTATCTCTATTTGCTTTTATTTATTTCTTTTGTTATTTTTAATGTTTGTAAAGCACTTTTAATTGTCTTTGTACTGAATTTTTCCTATACAAATAAACTTGCCTTGCCTAACGCTGATAAACAATGAAACATTAGAGTTTTAATAAAGACAGGGGCGGTTCTAGACAGGGGCCAACGGGGGCTAGTGCCCCTGTAGATCATATCCTGGCCCCTGTATTGAAGACATAATACTAAAAGAAATTCTAATGATGATATGCGCAGGAACAGACATGGTTATTGATAGGTCTTTTGGATCTATTTAAATTTTTTTCTTAAAAAAATTCAGCTTTTCTAATCATTTAAAAACAATAAGGTGGTATTGAGAAAGGATCCAAGTTTTCTTCTTCTTCTTTCTTTCAAAATAAAAAAAATATTACAGATTAATTTTATCAGTTTTTTTTTTAGTTCTAATTCTTATTTGATAGAAAACTGAAATTTTAACTTAAATCAAGTTAAAAATATGTAAAATTCCTAAATTATGAATGTATATTGACCTAATATTCCAAATAATAGCTTTACTTGATCTTTTAGATATTTATATAGCTACAATTTTTTAGTTACTTTTATATGCTTAGGGGTTTTTATTTTGATTTTAACGATACTCACTTCATGCAGCTATCTTAATATATTTGAATCCTTTGCCCTGTTTTTTTACTTCATGCTTTTCCGTGCCTCCATGAAATCACGGTGCCCCCAACCCGTACAGAAAATAAGGCAGGACAAAAAATAAATTTAAAAAGGAAACCTGCAGATGCAAGAAGTAATAATAAATTCTGATAAATCAAATATTATTCAATGTTTTGTTTTTTGTTTTTTCTACCTATGCAGACCTATAATAAACTTTTCCCAGTTTGCATAGAAACCCTGTTTAGGCCTAAATCAGAACAGAGGCGTAGCTAGACATTTTTTTTAAGGGAGCCAATAACCAGTGAACACTAGGGGTGTGCAAAATAATCGTGATGATGATGCATCGTGATTCTAATTTTCGTGATCTACTGCATCGATTCTTGATGCCAAGAATCGATTATTAATTTAAAAAAATGAATAAATAAAATTGCATGAATGGTTGGCGAACATCAGCCAAAAACAAGTGCAATACCACTTCCAGTCCAGTAGATGTCGCTGCAAATGTGTTGACGCACGCTGCCTTGTGTCACAAGCATTTCCGGCCGTGGGATACTGTGCCGAGTCATTCATAAACAAAACATGGAGGAGAAAATATTGCAATGCATCGCAATAATTCAAGTATCGTGATGCATCGTGATAGAATCGCATCGTGGCCTGTGAATCGTGATTCGAATCGAATCGTGACTTCTTTGGCAATACCCACCCCTAGTGTACACTGAGGGGTGGCCGAAAGTAGGCACCAGAACCTCACGGTCAATCTACACTGTTCCAACAGGAAATGAACAAGCAAAATATCCATATTTTCTAAATATAGAAAAACTATACTTTCCCACAGCCTTTGCTAACAAATAAGCAAATATATACAAACATCCGTGCTTTCTAGATAAAAGGTACGGTGGATAAAATTCTTTCAGGTTGGAGTTTTGGTCGAACATCTTCTCCATTGTCCTTACTTACCTACTTTTATCAGTAATTATTCTTCATAACATTGATATTTACAAGCACTAATATCTACACAAAATTATTATTTAATAAGTTTTTATTAAAGTAGATATTTATGTATGATTTCACTGAAGACTCCTAAATATTTTGCAGACACATTATTTTCTCTTTAACCCATAAAACACAAAATTTATTTCTGCTTGAATTCTGTACTTATGTTTAATGTTAGTATAATGATGTGCACAATTAACAACAGTGTTTTTGTCGTCAAGTAATTGTTAATATAGAAAAATTTAAATGTTTTGAATATTCCATTTGAGAGTATTACTGTTGCCACTATCTTTATTAGAGGGAAATAAATGGTAGGGGTGGCTAAGGGTGGCCATAGCCCCCTATCTAGCTACGCCCCTGAAGCAGAGACAATTATGAAAGGTAAGGCAGATTTTTCAGATGTCCCACTCGTCCTAGTTTACATTTCCTTCTCGTGTTACATGACTGTGGGCAGGACAAAGCGGTGCTGAGGAGCAGCGCGCGCTCTCCTCGTTGGCTGGATTGTACACGTCAGCAGTCAATAACTTCTATCGCCGCTCTGTCATTCTCTTCCTGGTATGAACGTGTTGACACTTCACCCGTAGCTCGGGTAAGTCTGCTTCTTCTCTCTCCTTTTTTGTTCTCATTTCAAACTTTAGACTTTAATGGAGTCTGGTTGGACTAAACTTTCCTTTCCCTCCGCAGGTTCTTCCAGTCCGCGGCTGTTTGGGAAAATGTTCCTGCTTCCCAGCGGGGAGACGGTCGGTTAAAGCAGCCGTGAGAACACGGCTGCCGCTCGTGTCTTCAAGGGAACGTCACGCGGCGTTTCTGTTTGAAGAAGAGCCGCGCGAGGACGGGCTTTTAACGATGCAGGCGCGCGCGAGGAGGTGAATCAAAGCCATATCTGCTAAAGTCCAAAGTTTACCTTTAAGGAAGGGAAAGATGAGGCTCCGGCTGGTCAGACGGAATGTGCTCCTGCTGCTGGGAGTTATTTTTGTTCTTGTGACTCTCTTGTTTTCAACACGTGTGCTGATAGAGTCTGAAAATGACCCCGGAGCAGCCAGCTCCAGGGTGGTCTCCAGCAATGGAAATCAGGGAACAAACTCTTGTGAGATATTGAGCTTTGTGTCTCTGACTGAATTGACTCAGTCCATTTACAGTGCCAATTACAAACAGTGTGTCCACAATGCAGACAGGTTTCCTGGGGAGCCCCGCCTGATTCTGGTTGTGCAGGTTCACAACAGGCCTGAATACCTCCGGCTTCTCATCAGGTCACTGGAGAGGGCTGCTGAGGTGCACAGTTTTCTGCTTATCTTCAGCCACGACTATGTCTCACAGGAAATCAACACAATTGTGCGAGGGATAACTTTCTGCAAGGTACTGCAGATTTATTTCCCCTTCAGCACTCAGCTGTATCCCAATGAGTTTCCTGGGCAGGACCCACGAGACTGCCCCCGAGACATATCCAAGGAAGAGGCTCGTAAAACAGGATGCCTCAACGCGGACCACCCCGACTCGTACGGACACTACAGGGAGGCCTTCATCACTCAGACCAAGCACCACTGGTGGTGGAAGCTGCACTTCGTCTGGGAGCGAGTGCATGCCATGCAGGGCTACAGCGGCTTCGCCGTCTTCCTCGAGGAGGACAACTACATTTTACCAGACTTTTTCCACTTCTACAAGTTAATGATGGGGTTTAGGAAGACCAGCTGCCAAGACTGTGACCTGTTCGCTTTGGGAAACCACAACGGCGTGACAGATTTTAGCAGCATGTCCGATAAGGTGTTGACCTCTGGATGGCTGTCCACCAAACACAACATAGGCATGGCCATCTCTAGAGAGGTGTACTACAAGCTGATGGGGTGCAGCAACGAATTCTGCACCTACGATGATTACAACTGGGACTGGACCCTCCAGCACCTCTCTGGAGCATGCATCTCTAATCCCCTGAAAGTGGTGTCTGCGCAGGCCTCCAGGGTTCTGCACACGGGGGACTGCGGTCTACACCAGAAGGACAACTGCAGACCAGAAATGGCCTTACAAAAAGTAGAGGCGGGCCTTCAGACGGCGAAGGACAGCCTCTTTCCTCCACGTCTGGTCCTCAGTAGGCAGGAGCCAGTGGAGCACAAGGCCCACATGAAGAACGGAGGATGGGGAGATGTTCGAGACCACGTTCTATGCAATAACTATTCCAAACGCCTGTGAGCTCCGACTTTTCATTGATGGTTTACAAATGTGCCATCTTTAAGAATCTTCCAAGAGTATTTTTTTTTTTTTTTGGTGGGTTTATTTCTCTCGGCCGACAAGGTCGTAACCAAATAATTTTGGGAAAAAGTGGATGTTTGCATGATGATTTACATGTGAACTTTTAACTTTTTTATCCAGTGCCAAAGCCTTTACATTGTGACTGCAGACTCCTCCTTTGCTTTTCCGTCTGTTTCTACCACGCCAAAGCATTAGATGGGATTCGACATGAGAGCAGCATTTGATGTCGAATCCTGACAGCCCTTTCTATGCTGTTAATTCTAGAGATGCAAGAGAAAATCCTGCTTGTTTATAGTTGTTTTCTGGAAGTTGCTCAAAGATTTTCTGAAAGATGTTTCCATGTGGTGATGGTACGAAAGCATAATGGCAAACGTAAAAAAAAAATATATATATATATATCCACCTTCTTTAAATATTTTGGTCTTGTTTCAGTTCCTTAATTTGTTCATTAAATGAAATGTTCATCAGATAATGTGAAATTTATTTCTATGCTGGACCATTAGGGTGTTTTTCTTCCTCCCTCTGTATTGATCACAGAAACTTTAGAAAAAGAAAACAGCTTTTATTTACTTAAGGCCAAAAAAGTGACCTTTTGGAACCAATGTTTTGGTTCTGCAAACATCAGGATCCCCTGTGATGCTGCTTTCCTATATTTGCACCTTTTATGTTTAAATTTATGGGGGGTTTTTTTGTCTTTTTTTTTTTTTTTTACACTGTGTCGATTCGAGAATAAGATGAAAAATATGAAGATTTTATGTAAGAAAACTACAAATTCCCTTCAGTTTAGTTATTGTACGTATTTTTTTTTTGTTTTGTTGTTGTGTGCCTTAAATCTGACCAAAAATGCCTTATTCTGAAAAGCCTTTCAATGCACTGATATTAGATAAATTAGTACTTACATCCTAATCTCAATTTTGGGGCCCATTTTTTTATGTTGGGATATTTTCTGTTTTTTGCGGCTTTATTAATCAAATCAAAACTTCAGCTCTACTTAAAATGATTTGGGGTTTCTTTCTTAATGCCTGATTAAACCTGATTTTGGTGTGCCTCAAGGTGCCTTGCATAGATTTTGAAACATTTGTTGTAAATTTTATTGCTAAATGATTATTGGCTTGTATTTCGGCTGACAAAGAAAACTGATAACATCTTAAGAAAAAAAAAGCAATGACAATCCAGTGTACAAATGATGTTTGAAAAAAAGTCTGCTGCCTGTTGAACATTTCTGTGTACACTCTTCAACGATTCCTTTATATTTGAGAAAGAAATCAATAATTTTTTTTTTTTTTTGGTTCTCTGTCTTGAATTGTTCTGATCATCACTTGAAGTAACTGTTTGTTATTTTCCGTTTGCCAGATGGGGAAAGTACTTGCTAAACTGTTTCACTGTTTCATCAACAACTGAAATAAAAAAGACTGTTAAACTGGTATTACATGGTATATTTATTATCAAACCAGTTAAAAACCATGAAAAGATTACAGGATTACAGGAATTAAATAGGTAGAAAAAAAAGAAACAATATTTCTTTAGTCAAAGAAATTAATTATTATAGATCCTTGATTGTGATCAAATAGTGTTGTTTTGTATGTACGTTTGTGGGGATGAAACATGGGAACTTCATCAATAACCTGATTCCATGCATGCAGTTGGGAATTGTGACATAATATCAAGCAATAATGAAATAAAAAAAAATAGGTAAAAACAATGAGTTTTAATATCTCAGTGTAAAGGATGTTTGACATAAGAATAAAACCAAATGATACGGTATGATATGTGTATGTAGGTGTATACAATGTTTACTGCACTGTAATAAGCATGGCATTAGCAGTTCCTAAAAACTAGTAAATGATTTACAAAGATGTTTTAACTGTAACTTCTGCCAGTAACAAGCTAAAATAACAAACATGCAGCACTTGTGAGATTATTGAAGGATCATGTAGTTCAGACATAAAGAGTTAGACTTTTGTTTATAGATAACACTTTTTTCAATCAGTTAATAATTTAGTCAGTCTTTAATCTAATCTTTTAATACGAGTAGAAGATGATAGGAAGCTATCTTTAAATACATTTTATGTTCAGGTGACAGAAGTATAACAAACCATTAATGATACAAAATAACGAAAACAAACAAATGTATTGTGTTAGACAGGTGTAAAGCTCGTATGAACCCCCATAAATGGATTAAATCTCCCTACAATACTTTCTTCTCCCAGTACGTCACGTGATAAAATCCTCGCTTCCCATTGGTCAGGCTCCGCTCGGTGTTTATTTCCGGAAGTGAGTGAGTTGTCAGTGACAGACTTTCCAGACAACCAAAGCGTTAATCTGCGGCGGCGCATTGACAGGTAATCTGCGAAAGTTTAAATACCTTTAAACTAATCCAGCAATACTTATAAAAGCGTCTGAATAATCCGTATTCACCGTATTAAACTAGTCCTGTTGTGGTTGTAGATTTAGCCATTGTTAGCAGTTAGCTTAGGTTGAGCTCTGTGGCTGACGTCATTGAATTTGGTCTTTAAATGATCGGGGAAACCTCAGGATCAGACACAATCCGTCCCTGAGATAATCAAATTTGCCTTTTACGGACCTAAAGTATGTTTGTAGATGATTAGTAGCTGTTATTAGAAAGCTAACTCGGTATGTAACCCGCGGCGCCCCGTAAATGTGACGTAGGAATCCTTCACACTCCCGAAACAAACGTTCCGCCTTTAAGAAAAAAGTTATCTTTTTTGAAACACCCACCAGCTAGTCGGCTAAGCTACATCGTTAAGGTGTCTGTGTGATTAACCAGCTGTCCCTGTGTTACAGCCTTCCCTCTGTAGGTGTGATCCTGTCCCCAGAATGGCCCACTGGTTTCACAGAAACCCCCTGAAGGCAACGGCGCCGGTGTCCTTTAACTTCTACGGTGTGGCAGGAAGCCCAGCGGCCAACAAGATCTGCAAGTATGATGATCAACACTCGATGCAGAGCACTGCTGTCTCCAAACATGATCATCTGGCTAATACTGGTTTTCCTGAGAGATTTTGATATAGGATATAGGGTGTCTGCATCCTTTAAACATTCAGTGTGCACCTTAGATCACCTTCAATGTTTTCCAGGCTAAGGACCCCCATACTGATGACGAGATGGAGCGGGGACCCCCTAATTATTATATGAAATAGTGTTCTATCAAACTGGTCCTATAGTCACTCTATTACAGATGGAGTCATGTAACAAAAGTAATTTCTTTCCTGGTTGATGGGACAGGTGTTGTGACTGAAATGGCGCCCAGCTTGAAAGAGCTCCTGTGTGTCACTGAATGTGTGCATTAATGACTGAAAGGCATCTTCTGCCTCCATTTATCTGTTTATTACAGTGTGTTGAATTCATGTTAATGTGGATTTAAAGATATTTTAATTAGTGGAAAAAATTGCAGGGGGAATATAAAAAAAAAGTCTAATTAACCAAAACTTTTGCGACCCCCATGCAGTAGCACCGTGAACATTGTAGGTGTTTAAATGGATCACAGGGATGTTTTGCTGTGGGTGTGTCGTCTCCACTGTATTAAAATTGCAAAAGGCTGTTTAGGAGGCAACAATTGTCTGCTTGTCTGTTCAGATTTCCATGAGTTTGCATTTTGCCTGGTGTAAGTATATTCATCCTGCTCAAAGAGCCATATTGGACCAAAAAAAACAAAAAATAAATCTGTCTGGAGCCGCAAAAATGTAAAAGTCTTATATATGCCTCGTATGTCAACACAGACTGTATAGAAAAGTACTATGTGGGCATAAATATAGAATAAGCATTCATGATTAAATGCTTATCCTGGAGCAAATGTCACATAGCAGCATGAGGTGAGGGAGGAGCAGTGAACGCTCCCATCCCACGGTTTATGTTTTGTTGCATTGATGAAATTATAGAAACAGGATATGGTGGACGTGTTTCTGTTGGGAGGAGTTGATTGAGTCATGAGGAACCATCAGGAACTGACATTCATCAGAGCAGAGCTCTCTATCCCTGCATCCTCCATCACCAGCGTTCCTTGGTGTGATTTAGATTTTTACAATTTGGGGAAAAATGGAAGAAAGTAGCTGTATCAGAGCGTTACTTGTTTGATCTGTGGACGGTTTTCCCTCCTTGCAGCCAAACCAGCAGCAGTAGTGGAGTTTGGAGATGCAATCCACCTATTAAATCTATCGTTGCTCTCCTCTAATTTATCCAGAAGTTCTGCAATCACACTTTTTCTCTCCCTCCCAGCTTGGTGGTCGGCTAAATATTTAGCCTTTTCTGGAAATTCTTTTCCAAACCTTTTATTTTATTTTATTGACAACCTCTCATTACAAAGCAAAAAATGCAGGCAATCCTTTCGCATTTATAATGAAAGCAAATGATTTGGTCCATTCTTTTAATCCTCTTTTCTCATCAGCTATCTTCCTTTTTCCCTTTGAAAATAGTCCATGGTCCGAGACACACTTGCTGCTTTATTTGCCTATCACAGAGCCTCGCTGGTTGCAAATTATTGTTTAAATATATTTATTATATAAATGTTTACAGCATTGGAAAACATAATTAATTTTAGTTTGACCTCCTGCACACCATATTAAAACAAAAAAAAAATCTATTTTCATACATTTTTGAAAAAGCTCCAGGGAGCTGCAAGGGGGAGGCTAAAGAGCTTCATGCAGCTCTTGAGCTGCGGGTTGCTGACCCCTGTGTTAGGTGAACTCTCACCGCAGTAGATCCCCACATCGGACAAATGTTACAGCGCATATTAATGCTAAAACTTTGTCTTTATTACAAATTCCTATCAGTTGTATCCAAAGCACCTTTTTTAAACTATCCTGAATGTCAGAAACTCGCCAACAGGATCATGAGAGGCTGCTTTGCTGCCTCCTTTATTATGCAGGCTGTCATAATGTTAAAGTTTATGGATGCATTGATTTTTAACAGCAGACAATATAAATCAAAATGTTGCAGATGGTATCAAGTTGTGAGATGAGCGATAAGATGTTGAAAGGCAGACAAGCTCAGTGATCACACCTGTTTATCAGTCTGAACACTGTGGACACAATGGGGCTGATCTACACCATGGCAGGCAGTTTAGCCATTTAGAGCGCATGTGGGAGGGTTCAGATCAGATCTATACCTCCAGGCTTAAACTGTACCAATCCTGTAAGCAGACACGGCTCATTTCAGGAACGACATAAAGGCTCCCAGCAGGTGCAGCTCAAAGTATGAAACTAATGCAGCGTACAGTAAAGTCAAATGAAGCACAGCTTGGTTTCAGTCTGTAGCTTCTGCTGGTTTTTCGTTGCACCGACCTCATCAGATGTTCATCTGATTCTGTTCATCAGACTCACCTCTATGGATAAACACCTATATTCACATAAGCAATCCCTAAAATAAGGAAGACCTACTCAATGTCCCTATAGTCAACTCTTGAGGCAATCTGTCACTGTTGAGATTTGATTTATTTAATTTGCTTTTACCTAAAGGGTATTTAAATAAACACAAAAACTCAATCAGTCTGCATCCGGTAACTTAAGGGGAAATTTAGGTAAAAGCAATAATCATATCATTCATCAACAGGCAAATAATCAGATGAAAACAAGTGTTGTTGCAGCCCAGGTGTGAGCCGATTGATGGTATTTCATATTTATAAAAAGGTAAAATCCCGGCAAAGTCCTAAATATTACTATTCTTATAGTTTAAACCCCTTTAAAGTTATATCAGAATAAGGATTAGCAACTGGAGTTTTCTCCATCTGGAGACTGGGGAGCATAGAATAAATAAAATACAGGCCCTTCCTCCACCTGTTGCTGAGCACTAGCAGTTTGGATGGCTAGAAGTCGACTACCATGTTTGGAATCAGATTTTTTTGCCAAGTAGGTTTGCATTTAGTTACTTGTTACTTCTCCCAAAAAATGTAATTGAGTTACTAACTGAGATACTCCACAATAAAAGTAACTAGTTACTAGTTACTAGGTCCTGAACGGGGAGGGACAGAGGCTATGTCATTGTTACATAGCTTTGGGTTTTTAAAAATCTTCTAGTTCTTGAAAAGTATCCAGTAATGGCTGTTTTAAATACAAGTTAGTAGATCAAATATACATTTTTATTTTTTTAAACGTAGTAATGTTGTCATGCAGTCCAGCTGCTATTTTTAGTTCTAGTTATCTTCCCATCGTGGATCTGGGTGCAGCATGTACAGCATGACTAATGCTGTAGAACTGCATGGATGACACAAACAGGAGACTCTTTTAGCAATGAATGATCAATCTGTGGGTCTTGGTGATCTACTCTCATGCTGTTTTTGCATCAGGCAGAAGAGTCTAACCTGATGTCCGTCTGTGTGGCCTGTTTAGTGACCTGAGGACCACCAGAGCGAGGCTGCTGGAGATGTTCACTGATTCCACCTGCACCCCAGAGACCATGAAGAACGCCTCGGATGCATACTTCTCTCTGCTGCAAGGCGAGTCCACTAATGTCAAGTTTTCTTTAGACGCGAAGTTATTTAACATTGGTTTGTTTTACTCGTAAAACATCCACTAGACTTTGTTACAAAGTTTGAAGACATTTTGCTTCCCATCCAGGAAGCTTTTTCTATTCAAAATCTCAAGAAAGCATTGAGTTCCAGGTTTTATACAGTAGCTCAACAAAGCCTTGTTTTGTTTTGGACATTCTTTTGAGGACCAGAATGTTCACATTTTGGAGAAAGAAGATAGGTGGTTTGAGAGGGGCGTGAAGGAAGCCGTCTATGTTAAGAAAGAAAAGCCAACCTTAAACAGACGGGGTGGACTCAGGTTTCAGCTTTCAAAAACCTACAATGCAGCAATTGAGTTGATTCCTTCCCTTTTATCTTTGCAGCCCCTGTACAGGAGAACAGAGGGCCTCGCCTATTCAGCCAGGCCAACAATCCCCTTTAACGACTCCCCTTTTTAGACACTAGACTGGTATGGGGCATTGCAAGCACAAAAGAATCCAAACAACCCCCATTCCAAATGATTGGACCCCATTGTCTGTGTTAGCATGTTTTCAAAACAAACACAAGGCTTTGTTGGGCTACTGTATAAAACTTCAAACTCAACGCTATTTCTGACATTTTGAATTAAAAAGCTTCCTGGATGGGAAGCGAAACATCTTCAAACTTTGTAACGAATTCCAGTGGATTGTTTTTTTGTACTTTTTAAAAATGACTATGATCTGAATGACTGAGAATCTTCACCAACATAATTGTAGTTTAGTTTTTCATCATTTTCTGGGGGAATGTCAAAAAGTAAAATCCGTTTTAACTTTTAACTTTAACTAACTTGTGTAAAAATCTCATTTTGATTTATATAGTTCTGATCCCAGGGAGGTTTAGTCCACTTTTATACCCGTAATGAAACCAGAGGAGAATAAGAAACCTGCATATAGTTCATCTTTATTTGAGACTTTAACCATGTTTTCTTACACTGCATTAAAACAAATGATTTAGTCCAATTTGTTAAAAAGCTGATGTAGAGTCGGTTACCAAGCAACCAAACCGCAATGGTGTAAATGGAGAAAAAGTTTGAGTATCATTCATTTGTTGACCTGCAATCACCAAAGTACATCAATGTTTTTAATTTCTGGCTTTTGTCCCATTACCCATCAGGCTTCATCACGTCCCTGGATGGAACCACACAGGAGAACAAGATGAGGTTCATCCAGAACTTCAAGTGGACCGACACCTTACAAGGAAACATGGCAAGGTATGAAACAGTCTGAGAGTAAAAGCTCTGACTGTAGATTCTTCTAAACTCCTCTCCTGTCTTTGGTCGGCTCTCAGTGCTCAGCAGGACGCTGTCTTTGAACTGGCATCTATGGCCTTCAACGTAGCCATCTGGTACACCAAGTTCGCCTCAAGACTCACCGGGAAGGAAAAGTGAGTCTTCTTGTTCCCATATCAGTTCAAACATCCCTTCATTTAAAAACAAAATGTGACACTTTTTCACAAATTCACACATCTTTCTAGATGTTTTATTCAGATTTAGATCAAATGGCCGAAGTGACAGTAAAATAACGTGAAGCTCTGAAAATTAAATCCATATTTTAATCCAACAGACGGACCTCTTCATTCAGTACATCTAGCTAACGCTGCAAAAACGGATCCAAAAATAAGAAGAAAAATTCCTAAAATTAGTGTATTTGGCCTTAATTTGAGCAGGTAAATAGGTTGATCTACAAATTAAATGAGTATGTGTATACCTGATGTAAAATAATTGAATATTATGCTTTTAAAGGAGATATTTTTCTCATATAATCATAAATGATCTTATTTTAGACTTAGACAAACTTTGTAATTTTGTATACACAGAGTGTAAACAAAATGAAATTTCGTTTTGTATGGCTCTCATGACATTTCCATTTCTTAAAGTGAGTAAATTATTCCATCACCAAATTGTTTTACCCGCTCATATTAAGGGATGATACACTAATTTAACAACATTTGACATATATTTCAGGTTTTACAGTGTAGCAGTGTGTTGGGCTACCATTTATCCAGAACATCCTCAGTCATCTTCTTAAAGACATTTATGGAACAGTCAAATCTAGAAACCAGCTGAGGAGGATTTGAGCTTTGTGTCACGGAGCGTTAATCTGCTGGAATCAAATGAGCACAATATGTTTCGCAACAGCACTAAGATACACTGCAAAGAGCAAACTTAAAGGAAGTAGAAAGTTCTTGAAATGTGTCATTTTCCCTTCATTTGAGCACATGAATAAAGTGATCTGCTTAAGATAAGAATAAAAACAGTCTTTATCTTATTTCAAGTACAGGAAATATATTTATCTTCTAAATAGTCCCTTTTTTGAGCTGCTTTTACTTACCTCCTCAAATGAAGCACAAACAGTTATTTCACAATAAATCTTTTTTTTATTTATGACTTTGAAGGTTAGGTTAGATGCTCTGTTGGTAGTGATGGACCTGCTATATTGTCCACTTGTGAAGGTGAGTGCATCACAGCAGTGGAATCCGTCGCGTCCTTCATCTATTTCTGTGTTGTGTCTGCAGAGATCGTGTTCTCAGGTCACTTTATCAGCCTTATTCTGAGGCTCAGATTAAGCCTAAACTCGCCCTCATCCCATCGAAAAGAACAAAGTTGATGCTGATTCAGTGTTTCCACTCAAAGGCAGCTGGATATGCGTAGCTAATAAAGCGGCCAGTGAGTCCATCTTTGGATTAGTACAGAACAGCTGTCAGGGTTTTGTCTGACTGTTCGAGTTGCCAGTTGGTTCCCTTACCCGGCCACCCGCTACCAGACGACCCAGAAAGGGAAAACAATACTCACACTGACAGGATTGTTTTGCCTCCCTAACAGCATAACAGAGCCTGAAGCCAAGGATGTTCACAAGAGCCTGAAGGTCGCTGCTGGAATATTCAAAACTCTCAAGGTGAAGCAGAGGCACAGCTGGATGTTAGATCTTTAAGAAACATCCTCATTGGCTGTAATTTTTCTACATATTAGTTTAGAAAACAGCAAAAGGATGAACGCCCTGAACACTTTTCTATTTTCATATTTTGGTATCTTTTCCACAGGAGGTCCACATTCCTCGCCTCATCACCCCCGCTGAAAAGGGCAGAGACTTGGAGCCCAGAGTGATTGATGCGTATATCATCCAGTGCCAAGCTGAGGCACAAGAAGGTACCATCAGATTAAATAACAAATGGATGTGCCATACAGACTTCACATTGGCAGATAGATTTCTATCTGCCAATGTGCTTCCGCAGGTCATTAACAATAATTAAAGTCATTATATTATTATTATTTTTTCAAATTAATGCCTTAATTGGCATTAAACTGCATTAAATGTGATTATCATGACATTTAAAATGGAAAACAAGGAAATTGGGGACATGGCTGCAGCCTGTCGACGGTAAAGATGAGACAGGATTTTGCTGTGTTATATATGATAGTCATTAATACATTTTGATGGCTTTAAAAATTACTTCTAAGAGTATTAAAAATCATTAAATAAGAGTTACTCATTCCTGTATAAACCCTGTTTAGACTTTAACTCTTTAAACTGATTCTGAAGCAAATCAAACTGTAAAACATAATTTCTTTAAGGACAGATAAAATGTCTTATCAAGTTTCTTTCAGTGTTCCTTTCTTGTTTTGTTCCACTTTTTCTCTGCTGCTTTATTTGAATCCAAACTCTGAACAGCTGCTGCTCTGTTTCACCTTTCCAGTGACGATTGCCAGAGCCATCGAGCTGAAGCACAACGCCTCACTGATTGCAGCTTTGTCTTTTGAAACGGCAAACTTCTATCAGAAAGCAGGTCAGTGTTGTTATATCAGCGCAAACAGACTCTAACAGGGTTGTTTAGTGCATCAGGACCTGAGAGGCAGTGCTCTGCAGAATGTATGCTTTTTCATTATGTCAGCCTAACCACAAACTTCAGTGTGCTTTAATGTTACTTCTTGGAATGAAGCAACACAAAGGTGGGCGTAGTTAAAAGTTCATAATTTATTTTAGTGACTAATATCTACTAGATCAAATCCAGTCCAGCAAATTACAGTAAATAGTCCAAATGTGTGAGATTGGCGTTGAGTCATAGTGTCCAAAATGTTTTGATTCATCTTATAAACATCTTATATATAGGAACATGCTAGACAAGGACAGATGTAACCAGAGAAGCAGCCCAGAGACCTTTATTAGCTCTGGAGGAGCTGCAAGGATTCACAGCTCAGGTGGGAGAATCTCCTGAACGTGTAATAAAGCTACCAAAGGTTCGGTTTTCTTTAAGAAGACATTAAAATGATGTGATGATCAGTTTGGACGAGGGCAGAAAAACCTGAAAAATCATTGCTATGGTAACACATGGTGGCGGCAGCATCAGGTTGCGGGAAGGCCTTATCTCCAGGAAAGTGGTTCAGAGTGAATGGAGCATCACACAGAGCAGTAAGAGGGTGCTCTGTGTGATGCAATTTGTGTGTAGAATGGTCTAGTCAAAGTCCAGCATGGAATCTGGTTATGAATCTATAGCAATTTGGAAAAAAAACAACTGTTTACAGAAGAATCAACTAAGATTGAACCGTTATGCAAAGAAGAAACAGATGAGCTCCGCTAAAAACCGCAGCTAAATCTTCTTGATCTTTTCAGCTCATGGTGGTTTGGTGGTAAATCTACATACAGAACCTGTTTATTTAAGTTTTTTTATCCATGTATCTGCAGACCACACACTGAACACCCTGGAGCCAGAATACAGCAGCAAGTGGAGGAAGTACCTGCAGCTGAAGCAGTACTTTTACATGGCTTATGTAAGCTGACACACATTTGCAGCTTCGCTTAGTTTGGATTAAATGACAAAACGTCAGCTTTAAACTTTAAGTCTCTCCCCCTCTGTTTTTGGATTGCAGGCGTTCTGCTACCACGGCCAGACTCTGCTGGCCAGCGACAAATGTGGAGAGGCTATAAGATCCCTACAGGAGGCCGAAAAATGTACGAACACAAGAAGTAATATTTGTTTCATTTGGTTAAATATGCAGGGATCTCACCAAAGAAGTTGTCATAGTTTATATTCTCTAAATGTACGTCAGTTTTTAGCCTTAGACAGGCTTCACTCTATAATGCCAGTCAGCCATGTGTCGCTGCATTTCCTTCGCTTATCATTTCTGAGGCAGAACTAACGACTGTACGTCTCGCCGCAGGTGTTTCCTGTGAGTTAGCTTCCTGTTTTCTGCAGCTGTGTATCTATAGAAAAATGCATCCCAACATGAGCTGCAGCCTCCTCCTCCCTCCGTTTGCTTGTTACTGACTCAGAACCGCCCGTGTTTTAGGCTACTCCCGCGCGGAGGCGCTCTGTAAAGAGTACCGTCAGACCAAAGGCCCCGGCACCACGGCCAAGCCGTCGGAGCAGCTGTTCTTCCTCAAACTGGGCGCCCTCATTAAAAGCACGCTGGAGAAGTGCCAGAGAGAGAACGGCTTCATGTGAGACACTCTACACACACCTATTAATGCTGACTCAGACACTTTCTCTGTCTCTTTCTCTTTTGGAAAAACTCTGAGATGAGCAAAAGAAGAGCATTCAGTTCTAGAACAAACTTTTCCAAACTAGACAGTATGAATTATAATTGCTGATTATTGCTTCATTATTGCTGTAATCCAGCCTTTCTTCTATAAGTGTTCATGTACAGATAATACCAGGTTTGACCATAATCTCATTAAAGAGACTCAATCCTCACTGTTCTGACATAAAATCTGCTTAAACAGGATCTTTTTTTTTTAGTTGCAAAAATTACAAAAAAAAGGAATTAAAGATAATAAATGTACTATTGAAAAATTATAACGTTACATAATTTTTGGGGCTAAATTCATTCATATAACCAATTAGCTTTGAGCTTCACATATTCTGTTTGTTCATTAAGTCTTTAAAACTCTGAAAATATCTTCAAAAGTTCTTTAAAATGAAAGAAAAAAATTTAGAAAACATGAGCGAATTGAGCGTCTACAATCCAAGGTTCTCCTGCTCCTTGTTTATTTGGACTGCTCCTCTGGATGTTTGCAGATACTTCCATAAAATCCCCGCAGAGCCTCCCCAGCTGGAGCTGAAGGCCAGCTACGGCCTGGCCGAGCCGGTCCCCTTCGAGCTGCCGCCTCTCAGCGAGCAGTGCACTGCTGAGGTCTACGCCACCTTCGACCTGACCAAGGGAGCTAAGAATGACAAGGTGCGCCGTCGCTTTGGGATTACATCACAGAAAAAACATGCCCTGATTGACCAACAGCTTGTTTTTGATCATCTCAAGATGATTAGAAATCTGTTCATTGGTAAAAAATGCATTTTATCTTGGATTATTTTGGATTAAGGAGATAAAAGAGACATTTTGCCAATGGATGGAGACAATTTACACTTAAAATGAGAAAACACAATTGCATGGTCTTATTTTAAGTGCATATTATCTAATTATCTTATTTTAAGAGTAAAAATACTCATTCCATTGTCAAATTATCTCATTTATCTACTCAAATTAAGAGTAAATGTACTTAATTTAAGACATTTTTACTTATTTCTAGATCTTTTTTCCAGTTTTTTTAATTGATTTTGAATTAAAGGTGTCATGAGCCTGTTTTCTGATCCCACAGGCCAAACCCAAGGAGGAGGAGGTTAAGCCGATGAAGGAGCCTGATCTGAAGCCCCAGAAGGACACAGGCTGCGTCGTCTCCTAAACCCTCCCTCTTTGACAGCTCCGCGCTGAAGTATCAGCCTTTATAAAGACAGCATCTGTTTATCTTCCTCCATAGGAGACTTTTATTTCTCTGTTAATCCATGGTGTTTTACATACATGCTGAAACGTGTACATTATATTTGGAGATGATCCACTACCATGACAATCTAAAGTCTGTCTGCTACTCGTGGTGAACCAGGCAGGCCATAAATCCACTCCCACCTAAAAAAAAAAACATCCCATATCATCTGATTCTTTCTTATCTACTGGGGTTATAGTTTATTGTTTAGATTTGAACAAATCTAACCAGATAGTTGTTTTCAAACTACTGCAGCACTTCACACTGTCCACAGCGGTTAATTCTCTAAACCAGATAAAATCCAAACATGAGTGGAAAAACATCCCTGGTCCTGGTTGCTACAGAGCAGCTGAGCGTTAAGATGGAAACACAACCGAAGCTGATGCCTTCTGTTCGGTAACCAGTATAATAATGAAAAGAATCCAGAATTTCAATCTTAAGGAAAGCACTTATTGCACTGCAGACAGCGTATGTATGGAACATTAAGCACTACACATGTAGCTCATCCTGAAGAAAAACAATCCTCAGCACCACCTGATCACAGTCAGACTATATGAGCTGGCTGTTTCCTTTCCAATCCGCAACAATCATTTATAATAATAGGAAATCCAGACATGCAGTGGACAGACGCTGGACTGTGTGTTGGTGGCTGATCGGATTTTTTTTTTAGTCGTTTACAATCTGTTTGTATTAGATCTCTTTTTCTATTTGACATGAAATGGTTGTTTTCTACATGTTCTTTTCCTTAAAGGACAAATTATTATTATTGCTGGATTATTATTGGTATCATTTTGCAGTGATGACACAACTCCGACAAAGTGTCTGTTTAGGATCCCTCGTTTGTTTTGCTTCTGTGTTGATTGTAATAATAAGAACCCATTCAGGTAGCGTTAAACCGTTAATCCCCGACATTTTCTGTCCAACTGAGCTTAAAATTGTGAACTTTTTGTCAAAAGATGACCCCTCCCCCGCCTGTTGATACACACTGCTGGCCAGCTGACTGAAAGGAGGCTACTACTGTTTCCCTTCACTTAGAAAAAAAAACAATTAGCTTTTTAGAAACACAATCCCAGCGTCTCCTGTTAAAGCTGATCATGTCTGCCTCCTGCATGAAGCGCGCTACTACTAAATGATTTATTATACAATTTTCCTCACGTCTCTGTATTTAAATACTAATATATGCTGCTGGTAACATAAATAAGACTTTAAATGCAGGAATTCTTTAGAATCAGTTAAATTTTTCCTTTTTAAATATATATATTTTTTTAAATCAGTGATTATGTTGGGTTTTTGTTTCACATTAGGTTTCTAAATGTACCATAAAAGCATGCCTGAAGAGGGAACCTTAAAGTAAAAGATACTGTAAGATTCAGCGTTTTGTTTTCTGTTATTGTTCTAAGATCATCCCACATCCCACTTTGGAAGCTTGTATAGGCTGTATCATTCTGCTTACATGCACTAATTTAACCCACCTGTATACCTGCTGACCTAAGTTAGACTCAAAGTTAAACTCTGACTCCCTCCTTGATGTTTTCATGTCACATTGTAACATCTCTGCACTTTATCCGGCAGGTTTTAAAGTCGCGCTGGTTTATAGACTGATGTAGTTTTCGCACCGGGAGCGCTTGATTCGCTTTATGAGGCTGTGGGGTCGGTCGGCCCTCAGTGCTAATCGATTCTCTATGAGGGTGCTGCACCAGAGCTGCAGTGTAAACTCCTCCCTCCTCCTCTTCCTCTGCTGTGGTGTCCTTCATGTAAATGTTACTCATATGGTATTAAATCAGTCAAAAAAAACCTTCCTTCTGTACTGTCTTTTCTTTCCATATTTATGCAGTCTTACATTATAGACACAGAAAGGATTCAGCCTTCAAAATGCACAAATAAGCTTAAAAACGAGTAATAAAATAACCAAACTAGCCTATGAATAGCTCTGGAATGATGTCAGAGGAGCACGCCTTCTTTCCAGTCAATCTGGAAAGCATTTGGAGGCTGTTTTAAAGAGGCACAGAAGACAGTTGCTAAACTCTACCTTGTAAAAACAGATTAACAAAATTTTGCATCCCCATGTATTGCCTGGACTTTAGAACATTGATAAAAGGAGAACAAAACAACCCAGGTTTGCAATGTGGAGAGGAACAGACATTTCTGCAAGGCAAATTAAAAAGCAGCTGGACTCGACTGTTATGAGAAGCTTTCAACCAGATGTGAATCCTCTCTGGGAACCGAAACACAGCGAAGCTTTGGGCAGAAATTATCACAGAGGAAATGTTAGTTTTTTTCTATACAGATGAAGCACCAGCTAACAGTAGTATGGAGTGAATTTTGTTCCAATTTTTTTTTAGGAAATGAAACTGAAAAAAATGTGTACTTCATCTTAATAATAAAAGGTTGTCAGCGTACATTTCTACAGGTTTAAAATATTCTAATAAATTTTTTTTTCTTTAGATTAAATTTAATAAATTCCATTCTTTTCCAATTGTATTTTATATATATCCCATTCTCTTCACTTTGAGCCCAATAAAAACAACTGTTTTCGATGCACACATTAACCAGATTAAATGCAGGTGCTAACGTCCATATAGACCAGGGGTCTGCAACCTGCGGCTCTGGAGCCACATATGGCTCTTTGGACCCTCTCCACCGGCTCTTAATACTGGCTAAAATGTATATAAAGAGCTAAATAATTTACTATAATATATACCGGTATCAATAGCTTTAGCGTTTTTTATAAGATGGAAGAGAATGAGTTTAAAAGAACCAGAAATATATTTTCAGAGACATTTTTCTATGAATTAGCTTGAAAACTATATGTTTTAACATTAAAAATATATGAATTGATTGTCTGAGATGGCAACAACTAATTTCCTATACAAGCTTTTAAAAAGAAGGTTTTCTAGAAAAAATCATGGTATTATTTGCGGCTCTAAACAACTTTTATTTGGTCGTACTCTGGGCAAAACGGCTCTTTGGATATGAAAGGTTGCAGACCCCTGATATAGACCAATAGAAAAGCGTCATGCTCCTCCCTCCAGAGGAAACCCCACCCCCACAAGTAAAGAGAATCTAATATAGAAAACACATTATAAGAAAAAAAATTCAGTTTCTAAAATCATATCAGAAAAGGAGAGTTCTAAAAAAAAGTTAAATATCAAAATTTTTTTTAGGAAAAAAAAAGTTTTAAATAATACAATTTGAAAATAAAAATGGAATGTGAGCGAACAGCCAAGTTAATCTAAAATAATCTTAAAATCTTTTATCGATAAAGAACATCCTTTTCTGGATTGCATTTCCTTCAGATTTTCCTTTTACCAAGTGGTCTATGCAATAATTAGTAAACATAACAGAGTTTTTAGCACATTGCTCAAAAGAACAGGTACCTCCACTTGTTTTAGCCAATTCTCACTTCTTCACACATCCTTCATATTTAGGTTTTATTCTAGAATGATGCCTCTGCCACGATTTATATCTAGTTAAATTTAAGATTTATAATCCAAAAAAAGAATATTAAGAAAACAATCCATTGGACTTTGTTTGAAAACGTTTCTCTTCCCATCAAGGAAGCTTTTTCAATTCAAAATGTCAGAAATAGCGTTGAGTTCAAGGATTTATACAGTAGCCCAACAAAGCCTTGTTTTTGTTTAGAAAACAAGCAAACTAATACGGACGAAGGGGTCCACCACTTTGGAATGGGGGTCGTTTGGCCTCAAAAACAAGGCTTTGTTGGGCTACTGTTAGAGAAAAAACATAAAACTGTATAAAACCTCAAACTCAACGCTATTCCTGACATTTTGAATTGAATAAGCTTCTTGGATGGGAAGCGAAACGTCATCAAACTTGGAAACAAAGTCCAGTGGGTTGTTTTTAATTTTCTTTTTTCTTTTTTTTTTGGAATGACTGTGACCTGGATGACTGGGAACCTTCACCAAATTAAGACTTATAGGAAACAGCTTCAGCGGCCCTAAAGGTGCACACAGACCTGATGGAATGCAAGAACATCAATAATAAATGATTTGAGAACTGATTTTATATCTAATGTAACATCTATCCTGTACAGTTCTACTGAATAATAAACAAAGCTGCCAGAAGAATAATAGTAAAGTTTAGATATACTTTTAGTCACTCAGTGTGAGGCGATAGCATTCAGATGGACACAAATTTACAACAGAAAATAAACTGCACCGCTTTAGAGATCAAAATTAAAGTATTTCTGATTCTGAATAACCAGATTTCAATAAATAGATAACTGATCAGGAGGATTTTAAATTTGTACAGGTGGGTTTTTGTGTAAAAAAAAAAAAAGGCAACAAGTAGCTTATAAGAAATACAAAAACTGCAAATAACAGGATGTTTACACTTAATGAGTTTGTGAGGAGAGGTTTTAATAATGAAGTCTAATACAATCTGGGAGGAAGGATCTGTGGAGGCGCCTCTTTGTGCATATATGCTTCAGCTATTCACTTCAATTAAAAAATACCGTGTTAACCCCAAAGGGAAATTAAATATTTGTCACTGAAGGAGCTCTTCAGTGAAAATGAGGAAAATAAAAGTTAATAAAAGCATCAAACTAAAACCTGTTTGAATGTGAGCCACTGTGGATCTCTTTATGGTCCCAGTGATAACAGATGGGTGTGGCTTCCTGTAGTGGCTGTAGATTAAACATTCTCTCAGGTCTCTGTGAGTTTTGGAAAGTAGGAGTGACAGACAGATCCTGACATTCCTCAGCAGCCAATCCCAGCCTCAGCAGGACATGAAGGAAACTGTTGGCGGTAAAGTGACTGCCCTCCTCATGAAATAAGGTTTGCACTGCCGTGTTTGTCCTCTCAGGTTTCAGGACTCAGCCTGTGTCCTCAGGTTGCGTTTCCTTCACAGATACCTGGTGTTGATGGAATGTAATTCTCTATCAAGGTTCCACATAAAGAGAAGCTTCAACTAATGAAAGAATGAACACCAGCGGCCACCAGGAAGTAAGTCATGTCATCAGTAAGTGGGACAAACAGCGCTCTTGGAGTTTCCCTTTGAAATGAAAGTTCATGCAAAGCTTTTAACAATCCATCAGGTTCCTGCAGAAGTTCAAGAGACAGATTTTGGGGGTCCACCTTTGCAGGAGCAGAAGAGGATCATCTACTTCTCCAGTGGAGAAACTCTGGAGCTGGAAGAACCTGGAGAAGATGAGGCAGAGAAGCGGCAGTCAAAAAGAACCGTCTGCGGAGATCCAGGAGGGAAGGTGGGAATCGATTTGTAGGAGAAAATCCCTGTTTGGACAACAGATAATGATGCATGCATGTCCGCCTTCCCTTAGACCAGGATATCCTTCAAGAATGTGGCCATTCTAGTTGGGAGGATGTCGCTGCTGGGTATGTTGTAACAACAGGGATCAGCCGCCCAATGAAAGAAGGACTAATGGTTCTGCCTTTGTCTTGTTTTCTTAAACCAGCTTGTGATTTCCTTGGAGAGAGACTGGCCGGTGCTCTTGGACTGAATGCAGCCAAATATCAATACGCAATAGATCAGTACCACCGTGAACACAAGGTAACCTGCAGTTCAGGGTCATTTTAGATCAAATCCAAGCATAATGCGACAGCTGTTGTTACCTTAGTAAAACGGAAGACAAGACCAACCCAAAGTAGAATATTAAGATATTCTTCTACAGTAATAATGGCTGCAAGACCATCAGGGTCTCTGAAAGCATCCCCACATTATGATGCTGCCACTACCATGTTTCCCTATGGGGGATGGTGTTCTTGTTGATGTCTTGCTCCAGTTCTCTGCTTGATATTTTAAATGGAAGCCAAAAAACTCAACCTGACTCTCTTCTGACCAGAATACCTACTTCCACATGTTTACTGAGGGCGACTTTAAACAGGACTTGTTAAAACAGTCTTTTAATAGTCGCTTTCTGTTGGTCATCTTTCCCTAAAGGGAGACTTTTTAAAAAAGTTTTTATTTTTTGGCTCTTCTTACCTATCAGTTCAGGAATGGTTAGTAGTTGTGTCTTACTCTTTTCATTTTAGATATGTGACCTTGTTTTATAACCTAAATACCGGTACTTCCTTCCTGACCTGTCTTAGACTTAGACAGATTTTATTTGTCATTAGTTTACACAGTGTGTAAAAAAAAAAAGGAAATTTCCTTTGCAACAGCTCTCTGGACAATTTCATCTTAAAAAAACAAAAAACTAACCTGTCTGCTGTGTTTCATGGTCTTTATGATGGTGTTTATAAATTAATCTCTAACATACATTAAGTAATATAAGTAAAGGGGCTGGATATTTAAGAATAACACCCAATTCAGACTTAAAAAGAAACCAACATCCACATAAAATCCCTTCAAATCTGTTAAAGTTTCAAACATAAGCTAACATAAATTTAAAGAAGTTAAAGAGGTGTGAAAACTTTTGCAAAGTGGTGTAACTTCTAATCGCTTCCAGTTGTTTTATAGCATCATATAGGAGATTCCTCTATGTTTTTCAGTGCATATATCTCCTCCTTATGATCTCACAGGAGAACCAGGCGGAGAACATCCACTTTTCCCCTAAAGTCGATGGGAGCCATTATGGAGCTACAGGAGACGTGAGCCGTCCCTCTGATGTCCATCAGAGCTGCGAGGACAGACACAAAGACGACGGGTGTCAGAATAGAGCTTATCAGGACGATGAGGACAATAAAACTTACAGCTGATGCAGAAAAACAGAGAAGAACGTAAAACCTAACGTGCAAAGTGACTGTTCTCTGTGCTTTCATAATAGCAACTGTTTGTGTCTAAGCAGAGAAAATATACAAAAGTGATCCCAGAAGTAAAAAAAAAATAAAAATCAGTTACATCATTATTTTAGTTAAAACAAAACAAACAAAACAAAGAAAAACACTATTTTCTCAGTGTTTTCATTGCATTTAAGGATCAACAGGTAGCTATCTGCCCCTCCCCAACCTATTGGGGAGTTCTGCTACTTAGTTTGCACACATACTTACCCATTCCCTACACTTATAGAAAAGAAAAATTAAGCTTTTCCTCTGACAAAAAAATCATGGATAGTCATATTGGAAACCATCCATCAATTTTAGATAAAACTAAAATGTTAAATTTGAAGCTGTGAGCTCACTACCTTTACAGATGTCATAATCTACCAGCTAATATCAGCATAAACATAAAATAATCTACAAAATGAGTATTTAAAGTTTTAATGCAGCTATTTGTTGTGTAATGGAATAAAAGTAACAACTGTAGAGTAAAAAGATTATTATAGCTAACTGTAAGATTAAGTTATGAGCTACTTTGATGACAGTACAGATATTAGTTGATTTTCTTTTCAAACATAAGGATTTAGATCATGAAATTAATTATGTTTTCTCTTGTATATCATACTTTTTTAAAGTCAATGTTATCACACCATGAGAATGTGATAGTAAATGAAAGTGCTGTGAAAAATACCTGCAGTTGGAAACAAATGCAGCTTTGTTCATATCTATTTGTTGTACGTGAGCGCCCTCTTGTGGCGCCCATGGGAAATGCTCAGGAATTTTTGGGGAGACATTATGGAGAGGAGGGCTCACTTTTTCCCATTAAATAGATAGTTTTATTCTCCCTGATTTTTCTTTTCTTTTTTGTACATAGACACAATAATTGTAGAATCTATTGCGTATTGTGTGACTTTTTTTTGACCTGATGGCTTGTATTACCTCTAATGAACTATGATTAAATTAACTTGAAGGAAAGTGTTTGCTGTGGGTTTAGTACAGGAAATATAAAAGTAAAGAGCCTTAAAAACAGTTTTCAGATTAGAAAGTAAAAAGCCATCTGTTGTTCTTGTGCCTTTTTCTCTTTGACTTCACAGCATTATGTAGGATATTCCTCCATGTGTTTAAGTGCATATATCTCCTCCTTATGAGAAATTAAATTATACACTGAGACTTAAATGTATATATCTCTTTTAATTAGCTTCTTTATTCAGCTTTTATAACAATTACCTTATTTATTTATTGTCCATTATAATCTTCAACTTTACTAATTACTTATTTTTTAAATACATTTATTTATTTATATGCATGTTATAATATTTTTGTCTATATGGGCAGAAGTTGAAATAAAGAGGATAAAAAAATACAAGGGAAGAATAAAACAGACAAAAATATTATAACATGCGCATAAATAAATAAGGTAATTATTACAAAGGTGAATAAAGAAGCTAATTAACATATGAATACATTCACATCTCACTGTATAATTAAATTTCTACCTACATTTATTTATTTTGTTTTTGTTGGCAAATAATTGTATGCTTATTATTTTTTAGCATTTATTTCTGTCATATATGCCCACCTTAGCCACACAGTGCAAGCACGTAAAAATATTTAAATAAAAGTTGATTAAACATCATGCTGAAAAGACGGAATATTAAAGCGTTTATTTTTTTCGTTTTTTTATTTTTATGGTGGTGTTTTTATGAGTATTAATCAAGTTTATTGATCAAATCTTTCTGTCGTTCTCTCGTTGATGCGGTAGAAAAGATGGCCGCCGCTACTTTTTGATGTCGTTAGGAATGTGTTTGGACCTTGTTTGAAGCCCGTTCGGACTTGTTCGGATCTTGTTTGGTGCCGGTTCGGACTTGTTCGAACCACGTTTGAAGCCCGTTCGGACCTTGTTCGGACTTGTTCGGACCACGTTTGAAGCCCGTTCGGACCTTGTTTGGAGCCGGTTCGGACTTGTTCAGACCTTTGTTCGGACCACGTTTGAAGCCAGTTCGGACTTGTTCGGACCACGTTTGGAGCCGGTTCGGACCTTTTCTATGTGTAAGGACCTCAGGGGCCGCCCAGTAACTGGCGGCGCAGTCGTACTGTACCAGTGCTTCGCTATTTCTTATCAACTAAATCTGACAAATCCAGAAAAAAGTCGCTGCAAAGCGCGTTTTCCAACTATCTAAGTCACCCAGACAATAAAAAAAAAAAAAATGCGAAACCGATGTCCATGCGAGTCGATATTGACAATTTTATGCTGCGAGCTCATGTGACGAGGTGGCCGAGTGGTTAAGGCGATGGACTGCTAATCCATTGTGCTCTGCACGCGTGGGTTCGAATCCCATCCTCGTCGAATTTGTTTGACTTTTTATTTTTTTTTATTTTCGGTTTTGACCAAGCGTACTTTAATTTCTCTATCCATCTCCTTCTGATTAAAAACAATAATAGGCTTCTAATCAAGTTTAAATTATTAAAGAGGACGATTGGGCAGGGGACGCAGCCACTGCGTTACCTCTGCATCACCATCAAATCTCACTCCAAACCTTGGGAGTGAGATTTTGAAACAGTTTGGACAGACAGCCCTTGTCAGGGTTAGATTGAAAGGCTATGAGGATAGGTGCAGCTATAGGCTTTAGGGTTTGAGAGGATTAACTGAAATAAAGTGGCATCATGTGAATTTTTAACAGCACAAATGTTACTCAACAACAATAAGTGATGTGAAATTCTTTCTACAAAATATCCATTATTTTCTATATTCAGAGAACTGAAGTGAAGAATTATGGGCCCTACTAAGAAACTTGCATCTTAAATATGCTTTAAACTAAGAATTTCACAACTTTGTTTATTGATTATTCTACACAGTTTAAGTGAAATAAAAAATGGGGAACTAATAGATTATTACTGAATTACTAACACTAATACAGGAACCAGTGCAGTCGTATCCTTTGCAAAATTCTCTGTGTATGAATATCTGGTAATAGGCTAATGATTTAAAATCTTAAGTCACTATCTAATCAGTTTTTTTACAGTTTATAAAACAGCTAAACAATTCAGACCTTCTAGGAGGCTGTAGATTCAATAAAAATCAAATTTTTATAGAGGTTTAATTTTGAAAATGTGATTGAAATGAAGTTTTCAAACATATTCATTGGACCAAAATAAGGATAAATTAAGTAATAAAAAAAATGAGAACTTCCCTGTGGTTCCTCCTCTATCAAGCCTGGATTGGTTGGTATTTTCTAGGGTTGCTGATTTTTGAAAAATAAAATGCAATGTTTTTTTTTGAGGACCTTCTAGTGGTTTGTGAGGCCTACCTGGAAGGTTAAAGCATTTAGATTATTTGTTTGTTTAATTGGGAGTTGGATTATTCAACTATACTGAGCAAAAATTATTTAACTTGTTAGCAAAACATGGACTAAAACTGGGACTAAATCAGGTGGATGGAGAAAACAAACTATTTGATGTCAATTTTTCTCCACATTGATAATTGAATCTAGCTGCGGTACATTTTTTCAGGCCACTGATATACTGCAAAACAAACTGCAATCTGTCACATGCATGATTTTTCCTCTGTATTTAACAGATCTGATAAAAGTCTGATAATCAAGAGGGTCGTCATTAAAGGTTGATATTTTCAATTTATAGCCTTGCACAAGCCGTGGAAAGCTGCCCCTTTAGCTAACTCTACGATCTGGGCTGTAGATGCTCTTATTGGCATTACTGAGGTTTTGTTTTCAAGCATGGATGTTGGTGAAACATGAAGTGGTGAAGATTGAGAGAGAGATTATATTTCTGTCTGTGTGTCCCTTTTTTACCCAGCAGGTGGCGGTACTTGTATTCCAAATTGGTGCTCCTCCATTCACTCTGAGAAGAATGAACCACACACAATTTATTGTCAGACAAGTTCAAATGTCTTAGTAATTCCAGGTCCAAGTAAAATGACTAACATCGATAGAGTAACAAAAAAGGTGGAAGAAGACATGTATTTGACAAATAACACTATTTAAAAGTACTGATTAACACACAAATAATTAAAGTACCATACCATTTATCAGTTGCAGAACCTGGAATACTAAAGCAGCCATTGTATTCCACCTTTTGGTAAATCATCTACAGTGCTTCAACCTCAGTAACAATCAGCTGTTCCAGCATTAAAGCATTAGAACAATATAAAGATCATTGTTTCTGGATGAGAACAGAAATAAATATTTCACAATATAAACATGAAATAAAACAAGCAACAGATCAACGTCCTTATTACTAAAATACATTCCTTCAATAAAATCTTACACTTGATTGTTTTTGTTTTTTCTATTTTTTTCGTTCTGAACCAAACGATCAACATTATCATCAGAACCATCAGAGCTGCTGCTGTCAGTGGGATGAAGAGGAAGATCCTTCCTCGTCTCTCTGCTTCTGGAGTCAAAGTTGGTTTCTGAGTTTGGATCTGATCAGCAGCTGCTGGAGAGAAATCAGAAATATTTATTCATACTTGTTCACGTTCAAAGCAGGAGGCTTCTTCTAGAGCAGAGGTCACGGATTAGTGGACTGTGGTCCGGATCTGGACCCACCTGCTGGCTAATCCGGACACAACTTGATTTAAAACATTTATAAATTACTGCATGTTGTCCGACGACAGCGTATAACTTCACTTGTGCCGCTTTTCCTGTTAATACGGTAAAGCCCTCCAGACCGTCTGACACCAGGCTACACGTGATACATATTAGCCAATGAGCTGCTGTCAGTCTGGGTTGCTGCTGCTGCTACTTTTAGACACAGCAGGCAAACCTGTGGCAAGCCGGGCGATGAGAAAGAAGGAGAAGATGTTGAGAAAAAGAGAGCAGAGAAAGTGTGGACTGCTGGAAGAACTGTGGTGAACTAGTGACAGAAAAGTGAAATGGTGCTCAAAGATGACCCTGCACATTTGGAGGATGTTTGGCTCAACCTGCTGCTGTGAAGCAGGATTCTCCACCATGAGCATAATCAAAAATAAATATGGATCCAGGCTCAAAATGAGCTCCTTGATATGTGCTTGAGAATGGCTTAGTCTCCATTCAAACCAGGTTTAAAGCCTAAAGCCCACTGCTCTCATTAAGACAGAAAAAAGAAAGACAAACGGTCAGTTCAGGTGTTTTATAAAATATGTGAATCAGGAAATTGTCTATATACCAAATTGAAGGATTGTTCTCTACTTCAAAAAACACTTTAGATTTCAAAACGGAAAAATTTTTCTATTTTTTTCTATTTAGTATTTAGTAAGTATAACATTGGATGCATAAAAACCTCATTTCATTTCAATGTTTAATTCTGTTTAAAGTAACAGATTATAATTAAAAACGTCTCCAGACCTTTACTGGTTGTTGATTTTCTTTATTCGGACCCCGCTGATTTTTAATCGGTTAACCCCGGAACTAGAAGATGATGATGTTTGTTCATCAACTCAGTTCTCAGGATTTTATCAAAGAAAATTGGATTTAGACGATTTATTCTCACCAGAGACGTTGAGGAGACATTTTTCATAGCCTGAGCCTCCATCAGTCTCCACCTCACAGACATACAGACCAGAGTCTTCAGTCCTCAGTCTGGACACATGGAGTCTGATTCGTCCTTCTCTGAGGACGTCTTTGTCACTCTGGACTCGTCCTGAGATCTGTTCATCCTGAGACTCTGGCACCTCAACACCATCATGGACACGAAAGACGACTGAATGTCTGTTAGAAGTAAAGAAGCTGCAGAGAACAAACAGCTGACTCCAGGATCCATGAGGTCTGGTGGTGAAGGTCCACTCCAGAGTGATGTTGTGCTTCTCCTCTGCCTGATAGGAGCTCTGGGTCACATTCACTACAAATGTTGCTGCTGAAGAGACAGAGAGAGGAAGAGAGAAGCAGACACACTGAGAACTGGAACATGGGAGCCTTTAAAGGTACACTATGCAACCGGTGTTGATTTTCCAGCGAGGCAGCGAGTTTACATGCAAAGTCAATGGTTGACGCGCGTCAAGGCGCAGCAAAGGGTCCCGCGGCGGGTTTTGAGCAGCAGGCGCAGCGCGTCTGAGCAGCTGAAGCAGCGCGTCTGAGCAGCTGAAGCAGCGCGTCTGAGCAGCTGAAGCAGCGCGTCTGAACAGCTGAAGCAGCGCGTCTGAACAGCTGACAGAAAAAATATTGAAGGCAGGGTGATAATCTGAATGAACTGACTGCACTGATTACGTTTTCAGGTGTACTTTCTCACTTAAACACATATCAAAACGACTTTATTCCCACTGATCACAGCAAATATAGCTGCAAGGCAGAGAAAGGATAGTGAAGCTCCGCCCAACGCGCCTCAGACACACTTTTGCACCGCGCAGCCAGAGCAGCAAAGCTGCTTCAGCCGCGCGTCAGAACTAACTGGTACAAGCAGCAAAAATGAAGCAGCAGACGCGATTTTGCTGCGTCCGATGTGAACGTAGCATAACTGCACAAAGATCGCCACTGTGGTAGCAGCGAGAATGCTTTTAACTGGGGAGTGTAGCAGTTCTCGCCGTAAAGCAAGACTGACTCTCACGAGACTTCTGAGCCTGTGGGTGCGGGTCGCTGCTCCTGCAATTGCAAGTGCAGTATTTCCCCCACAGACCACCAGGGCGGCCGAGAATACCTTTGTTCAACATGAAATGACTCATTTAATCATCCAAAACGTTATGGAACACATTAATTAACTGAAAAATGTTGCATAGTGTGCCTTTAAAGTCCATCTCTAGAGGTTTCTGTCTCATGATGGTCTCTGTGCTGTCAGAGCTCTGCTTGATTCTCTTCTAGTCAAACTGCTGGATCAAATGCAGCAGGAGGATTGAAGTGTTAGCTTCACTGACAGACTTTTCACTGATTACTGATGGATTTAGAACAAAGAGAAGATGGAAACTGACCACAGAGACATGAGCTGAGGATGATGATGATGAGCAGCGGGTTCCAGCAGATCATCTTCTTCTGGTTGTCATCCTCTTTATCGCACTGTGCTGCAAGAGTTTACGCACAGCCACTATTTCCTGACAGCGTGAGCTGGTTAATATCTGTCTGCATAAAGCTCCGTAATTATTTCAAATCACATGTGGTCTTTAGTAACCTCACCATCAATCCTCAATTTTTCTTTCTTGTCTGTTTTTCAAGATAGAATAAATATGAAAAGTTCTTCTCAATATCAATCTAATGTGCTGGTGAAGATTCTCAGTCATCCAGGTCAAAGTCATTCCAAAAAAGTAAAAAAAAAAAAACCCAGTCCACTGGACTTTGTTTCCAAGTTTGAAGACGTTTTGCTTACCATCCAGGAAGCTTTTTCAATTCAAAATGTCAGAATTAGTGTTGAGTTCCAGGCTTTATAGAGTGGACCAAAACAAAGCCTTGTTTTGGATGGGAAGTCCCTACTAAAACAGAAGGGAAGCCCAAAGAACAGAAACACATCAAAGATGCTCTTCAAACCTGCAGATACCAAACTGGGCATTTGGCAAATCAGCAAGGAAATCCAAAAGATTTGATTATAAACATCAAATGCGTTAATATACAGCGTAACAACAATAAAGAAAAAAAAAAAAATGAGTCAGTGCAATCAACTGGTTTTCCTTAAATAGGAAACTTTAAATTAATTCAGCTGTATGATCTGGTTGAATTGTAAACTGCCTTGAGATGACGTGTTGTGAATTAGCGCTATATAGATAAACTGAATTGAATTGAACTGCTTTAACCTGGCATAAGCCACATTGATAGATGAACACGTTTCCATCTGGTAAGACTTCTGAACTGACTAAACTCACTACATTTCATCTTCTTGCTTCACATCTGACATTACAATAATGAAGAATAGGAAAAAAATAATAACTTACAGAACAACCACTTCCTGGTTGTTTGCAAACTGCTGCTGCAGCTGCCCTGCAGGCGAGGAGGGAAGAAATCCATCTCTGAACGGTGAGAAAAAACTGAGACACAACAACAAATAAAGGAATAAAACATGTATAGATGATAGAAAATTAAAGCAAAAGTTTCATTAATAAACATTAGCAGGGATGGTTGAAATTATTTCAGTTTTTCAACAGGTTTCACCAGCCACCCACTCCTCCCCCAGCCCAGATCCCCCTGCTGTCACCTTCTTCCACGACTGACTACTTCACACCTCCCAACTACAAACCATCATGCAAACCCCCCACTCCATAGAATTCCATCACACAGCCCATCCCCTCCCCCGCCATCTTGTTCGGATCTAAAAAGGTGAGGAATGAACTGCAAAAGATCAAGGTGTGAGGGGCTGTGGGTCCAGATGGCATCAGCTCCAGGCTTCTGAGATGTTTTGCAGATTAACTTTGTGGCATCCTGTGCTACATGTTCAACTTAAGCCTCAGGCTAGGAGAAGAACCACAGCTGTGGAAGACGTCTTGTGTGGTACCAGTGCACAAAGACAAAACATCCATAGGACCTCAGCAGCTACAAGCCGGTAGCGCTGACTTCACACCTAATGAAGACCCTCGAATGGTTGGTATTACACCATCTACGCCCCGTGGTGATAACTTCATTAGATCCACTGGAGTTTGCCTACCATCTTGGGACTGGTGCAGATGACGCCATCATCTTCCTCCTGTACCAAGCTCCGACTCACCTAAAGAAACCTGGAAGCACTGTGAGGACCATGTTCTTTGATTTCTACGATGCTTTCAACACCATCCGGCCAGAACTCCCAAGGGACAAGCTGGGGCTGTCAGTAGTGGACCAGCACATGTCCCAGTGGATTCTAGACTGCCTCACTGTCACAGGGCTGTGTCTCAGACAGTAGCTACGTTTACATGCGCAAAATTTCCCCGATCCGATCCAAACCTTGGTTGATCGGAAATTCAAAATCTCCGTTTACATGGACACTAAATGAAATGATCCGATCATGACGTGTGTATACATGTACCAAGCGTTGGATCAGATTAAATCTTTTAAGCATGCGCAGAACTTCCTGCCAAACTTGGCAGTTCTGTCTGCGTCTGGTTTTTGGGAGGCCTGACAAACGATGCGCTCGGAGCGAGCGGAAAGAAAAAAGGAGAGAGGAGGAAAAAAGCGCTTGGCAGCGAAATGTCCGAGAGAAAATGTAGAGAATGAGCGATTGAACCGGCGTGGGAGAGCGAGTGGGCTGTGGAGAGAGAAAAGAGGAAGAGGAGGAGGATAAATTCCTGCTTTCTGCAGCTTTAAATGAACTTGAGTGTATAAGTCGGCGTTCCTAGACTCCTCCCGCCATGTTGTTCACAGCGAGAGCGACCGGTGGTTTCCTGTTGTTGACAAGGCGGAAAAACATCACGCTGACGTCGCACACATGCGCAGTGAAGATTATTTTACTCTTTAGATCCGAATGGGTGTTTACATGGACGCCAATCAGAATGGCGATCGGCAAAAACCACCTCTCTCTTTCGGAATTAAATTTATTTCCGATCGGACCGAATCGGATTAGAATCTTCAGTCTGACATGTTTACATGAAACATTTTTGATTTGATCAGGCCTTCAATCCGATTATTTGTGTCCATGTAAACGTAGCTACTGATGGGACTAACGGCGTTGAAAGTAACGGCGTTACTAACGCCGTTACCTTGTTTTAGTAACGAGTAATCTAACTAATTACTTTGACTGTAACTATAACGCAGTTACCATTGCAGACACCCCGTTACTGCGCGTTACTCAGGTCGCACAATGAACCTTTTATCATGATAGGACTCGTGCGCAGCTGCGTGAAGCTGACACCCCACCCACGTCAAAAAACTCTGCAAATAGACTGAATGGTTAGTGCAACGCAGATTTGTGCAGAAAAAAATATTGTTTGTGCCTCTTTTGTTTAAGAGATATTAAAGATTACTTTTTAGGTCATCCAGAGGTGCGCGCCTTGTCATGAGAGAGGGGAGGATGAGAATGGCTGATGTATAGTGAGATTCTGTCTGTCAGTTGGGTAGGTGGGTGTTTCTGCTGGTGAGTGTTAACGTACAGCACACACAGAGAGATGGAGAGTGAGGAAGACTCCAGCAGCAAAACAGCGTTTTCCACATGGAAATACCGGTGTTACGTCGAGCTGCGTTTCCCCACCACATAACGGTTTCCTCTGCATCTCCGCACCGCGCAAGCGACAGGAAACGCGCATGCTCGCTTAAGGCGCGCAACAGTCGCCCTGTGCTTGCGCCACAGGAGAACTATGGAGAGCGTGAACGATCAAATGATAGAAATGAAGAAAGGGAGAAATCTGGATGGATGGATGGATGGATGGATGGATGGATGGATGGATGGATGGATGGATGGATGGATGGATGGATGGATGGATACTCTGACTTTTCAACCTACTGTATTTTTTATTTTAAACATTATTTGATGGCCTTTGTGGCAGGGATGGAGATCCATATTTTATGTCACACACAGAGTATACATCTAGATAGATAGATAGATAGATAGATGTTGCAGTATCTATAACAACCCAAACACACAGGATTTCAGAATTAGACATCCCCAGTTATTAATTTCATATACTCACCAGATCTGAACGCCCTGTTAAAAAACTTCACATGGCGTTCCCCCCTGAAGTCATTTACGTTGAGTTACAAGAAATGCAAAACTGCAGGTTCTTGTCTTTGTCGTCCGCTCTATTCAGCTGGCTTTGGAAACACACGGCGAGAAGGTGGGGGCTGGGTAGTGAGGGTTACGGGGGCGAGAAACGCAAAAGTAACGCAATAGTTACTTTTACTAGTAACTAGTTACTTTTATTGTGGAGTAACTCAGTTAGTAACTCAGTTACTTTTTGGGAGAAGTAACTAGTAACTATAACTAATTACTTTTTCAAAGTAACGTGCCCAACACTGGTCTCAGATAGGTTTGTCTGCAGTACGGGGTCCCACAGGGAACAGTGATGGCACCGTTCCTTTTCACCCTTTACACTGCAGAATTCTCCATTAACCCACCATACTGCCACCTTCAAAAGTTCTATGATGATCCTGCCACAGTCGGCCTCATCACAGGTGGGGACGACTCAGAAATTGGTGCTCTGGTGCCAGCAGAACCACCTCCTGATTAATGCAGGAAAAACCAAGGAGCTAGTGGTGGACTTTAGCAGCAGCAGATCAAACCCACTGACACTGGTTACAATGCAGGAGGATGGACATTGAGATAGTGGACTCTTATAAGTACCTAGGTGTTCATCTGGATAACAATCTGGACTGGACTCACAACTCTGAGGCTCTGTATAAAAAAGATCAGAGCAGAGTCTTCCTGCTGAGGAGACTGAGGTCTTTTGGAGTGCAGGGGACGCTCCTAAAGACCGTCTATGACTTTGTGTGGCATCAGCCTTCTTCTATGGAGCTGTCTGTTGGAGCAGTGGCTTAATTGTAGCTGAGAGAAAGCGTCTGGATAAGCTGATCAGGAAGGCCAGCTGTGTGGTTGGATACCCTCTGGACTCAGTGCAGGAGGTGGGAAACTAAAAGGATCCTAACTATATTAACATCTCTGTTAGATAATGTTTCCCACCCCATGCATGAAGCGGCAGAACTGGAGAGCTCCTTGAGTGACAGACTGCTGCTTTCTCAAAGGTCCACATTTGTGTGACAATTTTTTTCTACAATCTTGTTGCTGATTTAAACACCAGGATTTCCCCATTGTGGGACAATAAAGGAAATTTATTGAATTATTATTATTTTGAATTAACGCTGCATAAAATGAGCAAATTACAGAAAGTAAGCCTTTATAAAACAAATAAAATAAAAGAAGAAAAAAAAAGATATGTGGCCTTTTTTATGATCTATGGTGAACATTTGCATATAGGTAAACAGATTAAACAGTTTAAAAATATATCGTCAAACTACTGGATCGACTGTTGTTCATTTAAAGTCTTGAAACTGACAAAACATGTTAAAACTACACATTAAAGTAGTTTTTCTCCCTGAGTGCAAATTCTGGGGATTCCATCCACCTCTGTTTGCTCACTTTTCTGGATAAAATATTTACAACCAGCAATGAATTCGTCCTCAGAGATACGGACAATCCAGAGTTTTAGCTCTAGATCCGCCTCCCAGGCCTTTCTGGGTAGATCCAGTTATAGAAAACATTATTAGACCTCCTCTGGAACAAGAAACTGAAGAAAAAAGGGTGGTCTAATAATTTCTTTCCATGATTGTATATATATATATTTTGATGTAATGGACATTTAATATTTTAAAAATCCTAGTTAATTTTAGCTACTAATAATTTCAAAATTTTGTTTAACATCAGAATATCTTATGTTTTCCTCATAGCAGACATGCAGAATGCTATTCTATATATATCAAGCACTATAACAAGTAATACTATATTAGTATTTTATCATTTAACATTAATGGGGGGGTGCACCGTTCCTGGTAGTACTGCAATACCAGGTCGATGCGTGGAGTGGACGGAGCAAGCCCCTATTCCATCTCCCTGATCCAAAAATCAATTTAATATATGGTCCCCGGGTAGGGGACGTATCAGATATTAAACTGATAAGAACAGATTTTTTTTCCCGAAAACTTTTATTGTTACATTTCCACAGTATTCTTTTTACAGTTTACATATCATTTAATCCATTTTTAAAACATATTGCATGTGTACCGATAAAAACCACAAAAGCCATCTCAGAAAAATTTAAAACAGCTAAAAGGGATATAAATCACACTATAAAACATGTAAAAAATGGTTAAAAAACAATCTAAATTAAAAAAAATGATTAAACGAGGAAGGGAGTGCAGTCTCTAAAACCAGCTTTTTCATTTTTGTTGTGTCCAAGAGCGGGCTGTGTCCTTATCAATGAAGTGAACACTCGTCCACCCTTTAGAACAGTAGGTCTCTCGGGACCTCTGTCCGGTGCTCAGAGGGATTCCACCCTGTTGCTTCACACCCAGAGAGCCAGGCCGGCGCTGCCTCGACCTTTCTTGTGTGGCTTTGGCTCCCACGTCCGATGAGACGCAGGCGATGCTTCTTTGCAGCTGTGTCCTTGGCCTGCTGCCTGCAGTCTTCAGTGCTCTCATTGTTTCTGCTGCCATCCGGATCACAGCTGCGGGGGGACTCTGCCTGTGCCTCCTCACCAGCAAGTTTCTGGAGGTCCATATTTTGTTAATTATGATACCCATTATTGGTGGCTTAGCATAACCGACAGTTAAATGTATCTTCTAATTCTAGGTATTAATAAGGTCAAAGGTGAAACAACTATAGTCAACCTTGATTACAAAGATAAGATAAATATCAAATAAAACTCACAACTTTGTCGAGTTATCTTCTTATTCTTGTGATGTTTTATGGTGCTTTGCAAACTAGATAAAGTGCACTACCACCACCAACTGGTAAGGAGTTAAACAAGGAAACAGGAAACGACTCACCCAAAAATAAATAAATAAAAAAATATTTTTATACAATTTTCTGAACTTTTTAACTGAGGCCTACATAATAGATATTTCAATTCGTCCTCATAATTTCTAACTTATCTTTAAGTGCCAGTTTCTGATGGTCCTACTGGTTTTCCCATCATGATTTCAACCATTTCCCTGTTTAAATCTCTCCAAGATACTTTTTTTTGCAGCTTTCACTATTATTTTGATTTTTTTCGTTTTTTTCTTGTTGTCTGAGCACTACAATTGATCACTTCAACCATGAAAATGACATAAGTTTTTTTTTAAATCTCAATCAATCTTCAATTTTGGGACATTGCTCCAGAGATTTTGAACTTGTCATTTTTTTAACTGTGGGTTTGGATCTTTCTGACTGAGATAGGATTCTTTTTGCAGCTTCAACATAATTTATTCCGTGCTTTGATTTCACTTTTCTTATGTCTTCCGACCCTTTACTCACTTCACAGCCGCGAAATGCAGCAGTATGTTCTCCACCACATTTACAGCATTCAAGTTTAACTTCTTTCCCACATTTTCTGTATTTGTGCTCTCTGGCACACCTTCCACATCGCTGTTTTCCTTTAAATTCTGCTGCTTTATGACCATATTTTTGACATTTAAAACATCTCAGAGGCAGAGGATAGTACATTTTTACATTGTAGCTCATATATCCAAGGAAAACTTTACTCTTTACACTTGGAAATTAATTAACAGATACTCTGTCAGATCTTTCTCCTTTTCTTGTTGTTTTTAACCGTTTCATTTCTTTTACTCTTGCACCACTTATGTTTTCTAGAATCTCTTTTTCAGATACTTTTAGAGGAATTCCTTCAATGACTCCCCTGCTAATCTTTTTGTTCTCCAACAAGCTGCACTGAACTCTTTTCCCCTCAATCTTGTTGATCTGGATGGCTTTGCCTTTTTGAGGCTGTCAGTTGATTTACAGGTCTCCACTATACAGTATTCTTGCACTTCGGACTTCTTCTACAAGTTTATTTATCGATTTTGCTAAATGAACCGGATTCCAATCTGAAAAAGAGACTGATTGATTTACTAGTTTGAATATAACTTTGTAATCATTTTGTTTTCCTGGGAAATGTATAGACGGTTCATCACTTGACTGTTCTGAACTAGACTCCCCTTTAATTGATCTCTGCCTTTTCCGCTTTTTCTCAACTTTTGACGCTACTCTCTTCCAATCTTTCACTATTTCCTTCTTCCATCCCACAAGAATCGCTTCATGTTTCCTCGCAAGTCACGACAGAGGACATTTCTCCACAAGCGACTTAGAAACACACGCCATGCACATCCGAATCATCATCGAACCGACTGTTCAGTTATCCTCCAGGATGCTTCATCTTAAACTCTGAGCTAACTTGGATCCTTTCTTCATTTTAGGTGACCAGTGTGAGTTTTACTTATAATAAATGATGTTGTTAAAGGCACAGTAGCAAACATTTACATGGAGAGCCATATGTGCAAAATTAACTAGCAGATTCTTATAAACACATCACAGTGGCAGTTTGGACTCAAAGCAGAGTAAACATAAGAACACAAGAATAATTTAGAAAACTTCAATCCTGTCCTCAATTCTAGATAGTTTAACGGAGAAATAACTAAAACTGAATGTCCCAATAATATATTTGATCGTATTTTATTCTATCCTTTAGTCATTTATCAAGTTAAAAGCTTGACGTAATTAAAAGTGTGAAGCCCTGAGTCTCCAGACTGGACTAAATTACAAAAAAAAAGGGTCTGCCAATGCAGTGGCGGCCGGCCCATAGGGGGCGCTGGGGCACCGCCCTCCCTGATAAGAAGAGAGAAACGTAAAATATATTTTTAGAAATGAACTCATAAATGTCAGTTTTACTCTCTAGACTGTGTACCTATAAGCAAAACAAATTATATAAACTACATTTCCCTATCTACTGTCATTAATTTGTGGATTTCCACAGACAGACTCCTACCGTCTCTGTTCTGGGGGCGCTGATCAGACAGACCCACATTTGCAGAGAATCTGTCAATCATGTACTATTGCTAGGTGAATTTAATGGCCAATCAGCGTCTCGGAACTTTATGGTCTTGGGGCGCTGAAAATACTGCGCTTTAACAGGCTTCTGCACCCAAGCGCAGGTGCAGACAATTAGAGGGAAGATGGCGAATGTAACGAACGAGATGCAGCTTCCACCAAATTCGGTGAGATCCTTATTTATCTACCCGTTTGCCAGAAGAACATCCCTGTTGTAGGATATGAACATTTCATGTCATGGTTATTGTGACTGTGACGAATCCACCTCCTCGCTTAAAACAACCTCTCTAACTTTGCGTGCCACACACACATTCCTGTTATACTGTGTTTGTGAGGACCAATACACTCGCGCTGAGCCCAGTAGCTCCATGAATTTAAAACACACAAGCTGTTCCTGGTTACCTGCTGGCGTATTGAGGGTGCACACTTAATATTTCAGTGGGGTTAGCCGTGTGTGTGTGTGTGTGTGTGTACGTGTTTATGCTACGGGGACTGGTCATCTTCAGTCTGGCTGCGTCTTTGCTGGGTTCAAACCCAGTTTGGTGTAATTGAATAAGTCAATGAATCTGTGTAAAAGTATTAAGTTGTAAAAATTATTTGTTTTTGTACATCAATTGTTTGTGGAGGTAATATATGGACAAAACTGTTTAATGAGAAGAAATCAGAAATAAGAGAGCCTGAGGGGAGGGGCTTAAACTATTTAATGAGGGCTGTGGGAAGAAGAGCGGCCATTTCTGTTTTCTGTTTCTTTGTTACATTGCTGGTAACTGGAGGGAGGCTGAGGCCCAGAGTATCTTGTATAAGTTTAGTTTCTTTTGCACCCTGTTTTGAGTTGTTGAGCACAATAAATCACCAACACCGGTAACCCGACTGAGACTGGATTCTTGGAGGCCAAAGAACCCCATCACAGTGACCCAAATCATCACTGTTACTGTTATTATATAGTAAATTAAATCATTACTGTTAAATTGTATTTCATTTCCAATTGTTTATTTGAATTCTTACTCCGGATTAGTTGGAGACATACACTAGGCTATATCAGCCCCACCAAAAATATTTTTCACCAGCCGCCACTGTGCCAATGCCTGTCTATTTTCTAAATATTAAAAGTGACTTTAATAAAGGAAAGATCACATCAAATCACAACAACATATTGGCATGTGACGTTGTCACGGTCTTGGTTCTGTTATGTTTTACTTTGCTCCATGCTTTCTAGTTTTATTGGTTTAATTCCTATTTTGTTGTATTTTCTGTATGGATTTGAGTTATTGGGTTTTTATTTGTTGCCCTCTGCTGCCCTCTTGTGTTGGTCTACTTTTCCCCAGCTCCTTCCTAGACTGCTCACTTCACACCTGCTCCCAATCTGCTTGTTAGTCCTTTCTTTGTTCAGTCTGCATAAATACACTCCTTGTGCAGTTCCTCAGTGCTGCTTCCTTGTCTTACTTCATCTTACATCATCTTACCTTGTCTTACTCTGGCTCCTCGTGATTGTTTTCCCCTGATATCTCCATAATTCTGGGTTGTTTTATATTTACATGTTGGATTTTTGGATTCCCACCTCTGTTACCTGTGTTTATTTCATTAAATCTACAAAAAACTCACCTCTGCCTCCACTGCCTCTGCATTTGGGTCCAAAACCACAACCTAACCCTGACAGGTGTCGATTTTTCCATTGAGCATTTTTTGAATTAAAATTGTACAAATGCTTGTATAAAATTTAGAAAACAATTACATTGAACACTAGAAGAACATTTAGCCTGGCCTCTTTTCCCATGGGGTATCTAGCCACATCACAGGCTCACTAATCTGCAGTATTTAAGTATTTCATTTACTGTAAAATTTTTAAAAGCGTTATATGTGATTTTAAAGGCAGAAGTCCCAGCAAAATGTCTTTGTGTTCTCATAATGACAATACAAAGGATGAAATCTGGTTAGCTATCACACTGCCCTGATTCATCTGCAGCATCATCAACACATCTGTTAGGGGAAGTGGTGGCCTTGCAGTTAGAGCAGAGTGCTCTAACCGCCTCCCAAGCAGGTCCGCAGTGGGACTAATTTTCAGCCCTGGGGTTTCATGCCTCAGACAGTTCCACTTTAGATAATGACCTATTATTATTAAAGATCACGTAATTGTAAACTTAGAGGCTAAGTCTACTACATCACATTATTCTGTAAAGGCTTTTAGTGTATTTTGAAATATGTCTAATACAGCACAAGTTAGGGTTGCTTTACAATGCAGATTTATTTAAGCCGGAATGCAAATCCCTAACATAATTTTTTTTTATAATATATTCTTTTCAACTACATCAGAATCAACATTTTGTTAAAATGAGTGTTCACAGAATTCCAAACCTTCAACGTGAAATAAAATCATTAAATATATTAAAAATTAAACAACAAATAAACAAATAAAAGTGCCGCATTTTCTAATAACCTTCATCTTCTTCCTTTCTGCAAGGAAACAGTTTTATCAGAAGTATTTTGACAAATATGAGAATGTGAGTTAACAGTTTTCTGATTGTCAGAATGTCCTTTTCTGCAATATAAAGATAGTTATTTATGAAAAAGGAATAAAAAAAAATTACATTGTTCTCTGCATGATTGGTTTTTAAAATGTAAACTGTCCAATGACGCCATTATAATTTTTCCTCTGCATAAGAATAGTTTAAAGGTAACATGGCTACTGCCAGGCTTGGACTGGTAATCAGTGATACCAGGTGGTCCTAATTTCAGCATGTAAATTCAAGTCAAAGCACCTATCTGTGACAGTAAATAATGCAACGAGTTCAAGAAATGAGATAATGTTGACCATTTAAATGATGCACGCAGTATATGTAGCCCTTCCTTGTCATGCACATCCTAGTGACGGTTCGCATA